AGCCGAACCGTACCGTACTATGCAGTGGAAAAGCGCCATAATAGTATATATCCCAAAATTCTGCCTATTTTTTGTTTTGTTTTTTAGAGTTTAATCCCGCAATTTGGAAAAAATATATATATAGGGGTTGGGGACAATGGTAGGGGAAACATTGATCACAACCGCACGTTTCTATCCCACAATCCTGACAATTTTTCTCAGAACTGTGAGTTTACATCCCGCAATTCTGACTATTTTTCTCAGCATTGTGAGTAACTCGCAATTGCAAATAAATATTTAAAACTGTAAACACTTAGATTAGTTGTTTTGATAGACACGAAGTAGCACAATCTTAACATGACTTACCTGAGCCGTTTTACAATCCCGCTCCCTGATTTTGTCTTTAATCAGTTTAATCAATGAAGTGATATTGTAGAATTCAGCCTCTTCCAGCACACCTGAGAAACATTTTCCAGACAAAATGTTTAAATAAAAACCAAAATATCATAGACAAAACAGCTTGATGTCCAAAACATGCAGAACATAAAGGAGTAGTTAACTTTTAAAAACAACTTTTGCTGATAATTTACTCACCCCTATGTAATCCAAGATGTCCACGTCTTTCTTTCTTCAGTCAAAAAGAAATTAAGGTTTTTGATGAAAACATTCCAGGATTTTCTCCATATAATGGACTTCATTGGGAACCAAACGGTTCAAGGTCCAAATGAGAGTTTCATTGCAGCTTCAAAGGGCTTTAAACGACACCAGACGATGAATAAGTGTCTATGCTAAAAAAAAGAGCAAATCTTTTTTTTTCCGAATCATTTAGTTCATTGAATGAACCAAATGACTCGAAAAAAGATTTGTTCATTTTGATGAACGAGTTCGAACAGAAGTCACAAACGCGCATCACAGAACAGAGCAAGGCGAGCGTTTGAGCTTATAAAACAAAGTTATTTATTTTTTTTTTAAATGATCAATCGTGAAGAAACTTGAACTGTTTGGTTCCCAATGAAGTGCATTATATGGAGAAAAATGCTGGAATGTTTTCATCAAAAACCTTAATTTCTTTTTGACTGAAGAAAGAAAGACGTGGACATCTTGGATGACATGGGGGTGAGTAAATTATCAGCAAAAGTTGTTTTTTTTTTTTTTTTTTAAAGTGAACTACTCCTTTAAAAACAAGTTACAACTGATTTTGAAATCTAACAACATGTCCAGACATATCTAAAAGTTCTTAATGGCATTCCCATCATACCTTCCTCTGCAAGGCCTCTGTTCAGCACCAGCTTCCCATGTCTCAGATAGTTGAGCACCGGACCAAAATAAGTGGGATCACGGTCTATCAAATAAGCACCCGTGTCATCCTGGATGAGGAAAGAGCGATATCAGAATGGCGATGCTTGTTTGCAAAGCGATTTCAGCATAATAAACATCATGCAGATTATTAAATCTGGCTATAATGACTTTTCAGATAGTTTGTTCAAATTATAGAAGATTTTAAAAGAAATAATAGGCAGTGTCTTGTCAGTACTCAAGGGTATATGACTTTATCTGTACTCAAGGTGTGGCTGACATTTAACATACATGCAGCAAAGCCCATAGGGACGCTGATCCATCTCCAGCACAACATGATTACCACGGATCAATATTGAGGTCAGGAAAGAAGAGAGCTTTACTCCACAACATATGCCCTTAATAAAGAAAGCAATTGGCAAGAGCAACTTTACAGATAAAATTTCTATTTTTTGTAATGAAAACAACTTCATTTATCAGAAATATTTTTGACGAAGCAGAGGAACATAAGCAACGACTTGTCTTTTAGCAGCTTTCAACTGCCGTTGCCCTAATAAATGATGCATACTGACCTTTAAAAGTTTAAAAGCATGCAGGCAACCTATTTCTTCTTGTGTCACATAGAAGAAACTAGAGGATTAGTTAAAAAAATACCAGTATATACTTGTATGACATGATATATATTAGTGCATTCACTAATTATACTAGTTTAATTGGTTGCTAATTCTATTCAGGATCAATTCCTGCAAATTATTACGCGTTGTGTGCGAGCATTAAAAGATTTGTAGTTATATTAACTGTTTTGCTCACAGCTTAAAAAAGTAAGGTAAAGGTATTTAACAACCAATAACTCAATAGAAAATAATAAATAACTAAATAAAAAGCTTACTTGATTTCACTAATATTAAATTCTTATTTACAAAGTAAACTGACTCATTGTTTACTCCTGATAAACACTTAGAAAATAGTTTTAAAACAATTCTACTAAACCACATAAATAATATTAATAATTTGTAATATTGTCAGTTTAACCAGATAAACATTAGAGAAATGGTTTAATTCGATAAACACTAGTTTAACACAATAATTCATATATTTAGATAAGCACTAGTAAAATGTTTTATAGCATAAGATTGCATACTAAAAGGCCACTGAAGTGCCTTGGAACATGCACCTTTTTTTGTACGACTTATTTATGTAATATCCATTGTAAAAGGAAGCTACGGCCTTCCCTAAAAGTTGCTAAATGTCTTTAGATGACGTCATACGTTATTTATTTATTTTTTTGTCAGACAACAGAACGAGTAGCTATATGATATAGTGAATGACTTTTTTTATAGGCCTATGTTGAAAATTATCTGAATTGAGAGAGTTTGTGAACCGGATGAAATAAGGCTCTGTGATATTGAGTGAGTATTACAAATACTAAGCCCAAGAAAAGAAAGGAAATTAAAATGGTCAAACTAAATTCTTTAAATATAAAAAAAGAAAAGTCAGTGGAAAAACACTGCTCAATCACGTCTGTCTGCAGCCGTGCGCTCAACAGATCATTCACTGAGAGAGTGAGTGACGACAGGGAGAAAGCAAGACCTCGCGCTCACAGGACAGTACTGGCAATATTTGGAGGTTACCAAAAAAGTCGCTAAATTTGTCACTTTTTTTTTACTGAAAAGTCGCTAAAATAGCGACAAAGGTGCTAAGTTGGCAACACTGGGCGGGATATATTGAACGGCTCCTCCCCCTTTTCAAATAGCCAATAGCATTTAGTTTACCTCACAAACTGCAAGTCGTACTTGATAGCACCATGGAAGCGAATCCGAGCGCTGGTGAAACGTTGGATTCAATAGTAAAGCTGTGAATAAATTCTAGCAATTTCATTCTTAACCAACGTACAGTTAGAAAACGTAATCAAACTCAAGCTTTTGAGCAACCAAACTCATATCTCCAACCGATACGGTTCCGTGACGTGTGAACGGTTGCTTTGGCCAGGTGGAATTTATAGCATGGGGGCGAAGCTTTAGATTCTAGAGAGCATTTGATTTGACAGAAGAAGTGATGAGAAGCTGAAGTCTGTGGTGATGTCATAAAAATACGTGATCCATTTTTCCAGGAAGTGGGAGACTAAGTTTTGAACGCTTATCTCCTAAATGTGAATTTTGTCATTGTTTTCGAACACACCAGCTTATTCATAACCTTAATCTACTGATTATGAATAATAAGTGTGCAATTTATGGATTGGTACTGTATCGAGAATGACATTTCATAACCCTGCAGCTATAACATATTCATACACAAAGCAACGGACCTTTAACATTAAATATTTTGCATTGGATATTGATGCATTAGATGTAGTAAATGAACTTTCCGACAATAATAAAGCATTTAATAGCCATATAATAATGCTAATAAATACATTTTCATGAATTGTTAGTTAATAATGCATTAGTGTTTATTCAACTCAATATCTTCATACTGGTATTCATGTTCATATCATTAATGTTTAATATTTTGAATAATTAATTTAAATTTTAAAAATATTCATGTTAAAACTGCACCACATCTAGACACGAACCAAGATTAATAAATGATGTAAGACAATTGCTTATTATTAATTCATGTTAACGTTAATGGTAAAGACGTATAAACAGTTAAGTTACCAACATTTCAATAGTTCATAACTAGAAACTTTGTTAATATTTCTAAGTATCCAGTCAGAAAAAAAAAATCAAATAGTTAAACAGGCAAATAATCTTTGTAATATTTGTTTTATTATTATTTAAGGTTTAGTGAAAACAGTATTGAAAGTTCTGCAATTAAATTAGCACTTGACATGTAACGTTAGCATGCAAGTTTGTAACGTTACTGATAAAAGAACTATAGGCGATGTATTTTTGTAACTTATGTTCGTATTTAAACGAGCTAATGCTAATCAAAATATACTACAAGCAGCCTCTTTAAACATATCTGACAGACAAAAGCTAACTTTTAATAGTAAACAAGCCACATCAAGTGTTATCAGTTAAGCTAAGCTAGTAAGCGGAGCTCCATTGACTGTAACTTTACTAGCTAGCCGTCCAGCTAAAACAGTAAAATACATTAATACAGCGAAATGTTAGACTATAAACCCATTATTTTGCGTCTACACAGTTAATCTGATTTGCCTTAAGTCCGGATACGTGAAGTCGCGGTTAGTGTTCACTGTCATGCTAGTAAAGAGCTCGCGGTATAAATACCTTGTCAGAGTCGAGGTCGGGGTCGGCCTGGCACAGGCGGTACAGGAAAGACTTCGGGTCTCTGCACAGCGTTTGTCTCGTCGTGAGAAAGTACGTGCCGCCGACGTTCAGGCGAACCCATTTGGACGAGCCGCTTCCGGGCGGCTGCAGTCTCTCCCCGGGAAAAAGTGCGGGACACCTCCGACCATTCGAGCCGCTCGGGTCAGGGCTCTTCTCCGCCATCCCTCCTCTGGCTCCCGCTGCCTGGCTGTCGACTGATGGGACTGAGCTGACTCTGAACGAGACTAGAGCAGGAAGTGTGTGTGGTGAGTTTGAGAGCCGCTGTTCCCTGAGCCCTCCCTTCACACAGGCTCCGTCACCATACAAACAGAGATGTCTATCTAGACCGCACTTTTCCCACCCATAAATTCTGAAAGCGCCGTGATGCGCATCCTAGCTAGGCAGCTCTTTACGTCTTGAACGTTTGGAACAATTATGTCATTGTTGTTTAGGCGTTTAAAACAGCCACATGATTTTTTTTTTTTTTTTTTTTTAACAGCCACATGATTATATACATATTTATAACTGCCAAAGTGTGTACAGTAGCCTAGTATTAAACACTAGTAAAACCACTTAGGCTACTTAAATTGTTTAGTCAGATGAACACCTTTTTTTTGTCAAATTGTTAATAATACAATGATTTATATAGAAGTATAGAAGTCAATTTCTGTCACATATGAAGAAGAAAAAAGGCATTCTTTGGTATGGTGAGGCATACTTCTTGTGAAATAAGTCCAAAAATTACCAGATAAAAAGCTGAAATTATGAATGACTAGATCAATTGACAAGGTAAAAAGTCAGAAGAACAAAGGCATTCTTTGGTACGGTGAGTCATAATTGTTGTGAGATAAGTCCACAAATTACCAGATAAAAAGCTGAAATTATGAATGAATAAATCAATTGACAACATAAAATTGAGATAAAAAAAATACTAAATTATGAGGAAAAAAGTCAGTTATGACAAAACATCGAAATAAAAAAAAATACATTCATAATTATGAGATAAACTCTTATGATAAACTACGTACAAAATTTGCCATATCATTATGAAAGTCATAATCTTTGTCACAATTAACTGATAATTTCATAATTATTTCATAATTATGACTATTTCGTATGGCATTTAATCTCAGAAACCTTACTTTTTATATGCCATAATTATAATTTACAAAAGCATGTTTTTTTTTTCTTCTTATGTGATGGAAATGGTCTTCAACAGTGATAAAGACTGTATTTGTATGGTCTATTTTAAAAAAAAAAGCACTAGTAAAATAGTAAACATTTCCAGAGTTTAGTTTGATGAACACAAGTAAAACAGATAACATTTCAATAGTTTAATCATATACTGTACAAGTAAAACAGTTCATATCTGAATGGTTCAGTTAGACAAAGACAAATAAAGTTCATATTTCAATGGCTTAGTTAAGTAGTGATTCAGTTCATATTTCAAGGTTTAATCAGATTATCATTTATCTGCTTCAGTGCTATGCAATTGTGTTCTCATGTGCAATTAGTATAGAATGAAGATCATTTGAGAGAGCCGTGTGAAGATTGACAATACAAAAGACAGTACAGCGAATAGCAGGCATTTATCATCACTTGATGGTCCTGCTATTGCTAAGTGAGATGTGTTTCTCATAGCTGATATTTTTCTGCGTAGGAAATGCCTGTGGGCATTCTCTTACTGTATGTTTACCTAAGACCTGGAAAGCTGAACAGCGAGTTCATTCAACGTGACCTCATTTCAGCGCTGCAAGATGTTGAGAAATGTAAACAGCCAGCATGCATGAGAGACCCAACTGTAAAAGACAGGGGAAGTCTACTGGGAGCTGTTGTCTTAGCAGTGCTGTCTTGCACATGCTACCAACAGTCTGTCAGAAACAGAAGCAGAAAGATGTTACTCTTCGTGTATACTTTTATTATGAGACTTCATTTTCTCCTCAACATCCTCCAGTTTCATTAAAGGTTTATGAAAGATTGTTTCTGTCATGGAATAAAAAAATAAGAGGTAATTGCAACTTTTATTTTAAAACTTGCATTTGCGAGTTATAAAGTCAGAATTATGAGATATAAACTTGCATTTGCAAGTTATAAAGGCAGAATTATGAGATATAAACTTGCATTTGCGAGTTATAAAGTCAGAATTATGAGATATAAATGCGCAACTGTGTGTTATAAAGTCAGAATTATGATATAAATTTCCATTCGCGAGTTAAGTCAGAATTATGAGATATAAACTCGCAACTGTGCGTTATTAGGAGAATTATGAGATATATGCTTGCATGTGCAAGTTATAAAGTCAGAATTATGACATATAAACTCGCAACTGTGTGTTATACTCATTTGAGAATTATGAGATATAAGCTTGCATTTGTGAGTTATTGAGTCAGAATTATGAGATATAAACTCGCAACTGCGTTTTATAAAGTCAGAATAATGAGATATAAACTCGCAACTGCGTGTTATTAAGTGAAAATTATGAAAAATAAGCTTGCATTTGTGAGTTATAAAGTGAGAATTATGAGATGTAAACTCGCAACTGTATGTTATTAAGTGAGAATTATGAGATATAAATGCGCAACTGCATGTTATAAAGTCAGAATTATGAGATATAAGCTTGCATTTGCGAGTTATTAAGTCGGAATTATGAGATATAAACTTGCAACTGTGTTATAAAGTCAGAATTATAGATATAAACTTGCATTTGCAAGTTATTAAGTCATAATTATAAGATATAAACTTGCATTAGCAAGTTAAAAAGTCAGAATTATGAGATATAAACTTGCATTTGCGAGTTATAAAGTCAGAATTATGAGATATAAACTTGCAACTGTGTGTTATTAAGTCAGAATTGCAAGATATAAAATCAGTCAGAACTTTCTTCTTAGAATTGATATCTTACAATTTGGACTTTATAACTAGCAATTACGAGTTTATATCTCTCAATCCTTGGAAAAAAAGTCAGAATTGTGAGATATAACTCAAGTTAATATCTCACAATTCTGACTTAACTCTCAACAACTCTCAATTATGAATTTGTGAGATAAAAAAAGTTGCAATTACCTTTCTTTTTTTTTTTCTTTTTTTTTTTTACTCCCTGGTGGAATCAAGCTTCCACAAAGGTACGTAGAAACCAAAGGGCATAAACATTGAATCTGATATAATTTAAGAATTTAAGTGACCTGTTTAGGACACATAAAAATCTAGCAAATAATTACAGCAATCATTCACATTCAAAGGTAATATTCAATATTTACAACACATGGCCCCTGAATATTAGAATTTAAATAATACAATGTACTGTGCCGCTGCCAGCAAATAATCTTATATAAGAATAAAATTATTATACAAGGTGCAAATCCAGTAACACGGTGTTACTTTCTGAATAATACATCATCTGTACATCACAGTTATATTCGGTGACAAACCCAGTCGAATCATAAATACACATTTGAACAATTCCTCAAAAAATGGAAGGAGGAAATGCAACAGAAGAGGAAAAACACACTTCTGTGCTTAATTCTCACTTGGTTACAGCATTTTCATTTGCCTGTGCTGGACCAACATCCTTTTCAATGTACAATAAAGCGGTCAAAAACTGCATCTCCGAACGCGGCCCTTATTTACAGTTGCGATTCTCTTCACAGCTCAATTCCCGTAGGTATTACACCATATCTACAATGCAAGAGACTCACATGGTACGACACAATGTGACTGTCGACAGCCATCCACTTTTGTTGCAAAACATAGTGCCGCTCGCCTGCAGTGTATACTGTGTAACGTACCTTATCAAGTACATCTAGTTTTCAATCTGAACCAATGTTTATAAATAAAATATAATATAAAAAATATATATAAACAGCAGATTTAAGGAACCAAGTGCGAGTTTCACATGTGAACCCACAAAATCCATTGCCGTTTCATATTAAATATAACAGTGATTCTTCTTCTGATGATAATAATTTCATGTAATAAGATATACAGGTGAACAAGATGACTCAGAATAAATATAAATATATTAACGATTTGAGTATGAATTTAATATTTACTTGACCTGTAGGATCATTTTCAGTGTCCTCTATAGCTATCCTAAAGCGCTCTTATTATTATTTAAAAGGCAACAGATTATGAGTGTTTTTTTTTCCTTTCCCCAAGCTTTTGTGGATATTTTCCTATGTATACAGTATATATACACATAAAGTGTACATGTTGTGGAGTTTTACTGATCTTTGATTTTATGTTACAACTGCTGAACATGACAAAAACACTGCAAGCAAAACATATTTTGTCTTCAAGAAGAAATATTGATGCACTAGTCCCATAAATGAACAGATCTTCCTGTTTGGTAGTTGAATGATGGAGGGCTCAGACCTCTCAGACTTGCCTTGAGTCCAGTGGTCCTCTTATGACCAGTCATGCCAGTAGTCTTATGTTAGTGATAAATGGTTCCCCAGACCTCTTGAATCTTCTTACACCATTTGTCTGCATTGCCACTGGGATCCATTAGGTAGTATGTCCTGTTTGGCTGCAAATGAGGAAAACAATGACAGGATTTAGCAGCATTTCGCAAAGTCCCAAGAAGCCCCATGTGCACTACGGCTTATAAACGATAGTAATCATTCAGTATGATGTGTTTATCAAAGTACCATGATATTATAACTAAAGATTGCAGAGAAGCACAGCCTTTTAGGCAATTGCTTATAAAAAATAGCTATATATTTAACTATGTATACCTATAATAACTATAATTTGTACCGTGTGGACAAAAAACGTCTTGAAATTCTTGGCCTCGGGGCGCAACTCTGGAGACCACGGGATTTCCCCCTTCAGTACTTTATTCACAGGATCCACGTAATATAGATGTGGTCCTTCAGTCAGTAAAAGCTGACGGCGTCGAGCAAAGAGTCCCTGTGAAAATGACAAACAAGAAAGGGTTAAAACACTTACCAAAGGAAACCAAAAGAGGGTGCTATTTGTTTTCTCACTAAAAACGTACATTTATTTATTTTTTTTAAAACATGCACCTGTTTCATACCATTTAAGATAAGAAACAGGAAGGAAAATGTTACCTTTCTTTTGTCAACGGGTCCCATTTTATATATCAAGTTATTTTCAACAAACTGGTGCCTTTGAGACAGAAAAAAAAAACCCCACAAATGTTAATGAATAACAAGCTGGCAGTGCTACCCGTGTTGTTGACCGATTGAAAACAGAACTATAATGATCAAGAGTTTCTTTTACAACATGCAATAAAAA